TCCTTTTCTGCGAGCCTCTGGCCATTTTTACACCAACTCATCGGTATATCACCTTGTTTAACAAGGACCCAGCAATTCCACGCCGAAAGCAGCCACTCACACCGATCGGCCACGCGGTTCACAACCGCCGAAAGCAGCCCGAGTGTCCATCAACAGGTAAATGGAGAAACCAGATGTGCTCAACCCCTACAGTGGAATAGTATCCGGCCCCAAAAAAGGAACGAACTGCTTGGACACACGACACCACGGATGAACATCGAAGATGTAACGCTTCCGGAAGAAGCCAGACACGGAAGGACAAATATCGCGTGATTCTACCTCTATGAATTACCTAGTCAAACTCACACGGACGGAAAATGGGTTGGAGAGTCCCAGGGGCTGCGGGCAGGGCAGAAGGAGGAGTTCTTGTTTCTGTCGGGGATGATGACGAGGTTTTTTGGGTTTTTTTTTTTAATGTTTATTTATTTTTGAGAGAGAGAGAGAGAGAGAGAGAGACAGAGCGCGAGCAGGGAAGGGGCAGGGAGAGAGGGAGACAGAGAATCCGAAGCAGGCTGCAGGCTCCGAGCTGGCAGCACAGAGCCCGACGCGGGGCTCGAACCCACAGACCGCGAGATCATGACCTGAGCCGAAGTCCAACGCTTCACCGACGGAGCCACCCAGGCGCCCCATGATGATGGCAAAGTTTTAAGGACAGACAGTGCTGACGGTTACACAATAGTGTGATTGCATTTAATGCCACTGGAGTGTGTATTTACAAATGGTTAAAGTGATATCATGTCAGATACCTTTTACCATAATTTGGGGGAGGGATTGTTTTTTTAATTTATCTATTTTGAGAGACAGAAAGGGTGAGTGGGGGAGGGGCAGAGAGAGAGAGAGAGAGAGATAGAGAGAGAATCCCAAGCAGGCTCCATGCTGCCAGTGCAGAACCTGACTCGGGGCTCAATCCCACAAACCATAAGCCGAGCTCAAGAGTCAGACGCTTCACCACCTGAGCCACCCATTTTTTACCATTTTACCACAATTTTTAAAAGCATAAAAATACCCCCCCCAAAATGTGGCACTAAATATTCCTCCAAAGGACACTCGTTTACGGTATAAGAGCTGAAAGGAAAAGGCAGCCGGAAACAACGCGAGGTCCATCACGCGAATTTGTCACCACTCTGCACTGGTCTGGGAACAACCAGGAACACGTGGGGAGGATCCGTTTGGGGGTGACAAGTTTTAGCAAATAGGCAGAAACGCAAATACGGAAGCCGCGAAGGATGAGGGTGGAGTGTATTTCAGACACGAAAGAGGAAGCGGAGAGCAAAGTCTCGAGACACAGAGAGGAATGGCCATCACAGGAAGTTAGGGCAGAAGGTTCTAGAAGGCAGGGGCCAACTCCCTCAACCCCATCTGCCCGTCGCTCCAATGTTGTCTTCAAAGTTCAGCTTGCTCTTCTCTGACCTCCCCAGGGGACCTCCCCACCCCTCAGGGAGTGAGGCCTCTCTTTGCATAGACAGTAGGAAGGTGTCTGGCTATCTGGGAGCATCCTAGGGGCGGGAGGCCGAGGTGAGTCAACCACACTGAGTGGACTAAAATCAGGACTTGCCTGGAAGGGACTTGCAGAAGAGATAAGGCATTAACGGCTGGGGAGGAAGCCATCGTTTCTGTTCTAACCGAATCAAGATAAATGGATTAATCCTTTCTTCTTAGCACCGTTTCTCCTCCATCAACTCCCTTCTCACTTCCTTCCCTTGTGGCCCAAGCAGATTCTGGGCTACAGACAACCTCCCCGTCCGTCCCTCTGAATCTGGGAATTGGATGGCAGTCTGGGAAGCCCAGGGACTCTTGCCCCACCCTTCCCCAGCTGTCCCAGGGGGGCTTGGCACCCACCGGGTTTCCACCCAGCCCTGCAAGGAGTCAAGGTTCAGAAGAACAGAGGGCCAAGCATCGATGTGTCCTGTGCAGCATCCGAAGCCAGGAATGTTCCTTGTTTTTTCTTCTTGTAAAATAAACAAATAATAATAATAACAAGTGGAAATGAGAGGAAATGAGCATTTGACATTCTCCATAATCGCTGGGTTATTAATCAACTGCTGGGTGTCTTACTGTTGCCAGTCAACATATTATATATATGTATATATGTATATATGTGTATATATATATATATATATATTGATCTTTTCAGTGTGCTTAAGTACATGCATTCTCAAAAATGAACAATGTGCCTGAGACATTACTGGATGTCAGCAACTGTAGGCTCGTTCCATCATTTAACATATTATTAGTCATCAACTTTGTGCCTTTCTAACTCTAGAAGAGAGGACTCCATAGCAAAAACAAAAAAAAAAAACAAAAAGACCTCAACTAAACAAAAAACAAAAAAACAAAAAAAAAAACTCAACTGAACAGAAAACAAAAAAACTAAACTAAACAAAAAACAAAAAAACAACAACAAAAAACTAACCTAAACTAAAATCCCAACAAGGACTCCATGTTTGGGACACACGTACTCTGCAAAAAGAAAACAGACCTCCACCACTCGAACAAAATAAAAAATACACTAAAAATCACCAACCGTTACTAAAAGTTCCACCCCTGATTCCTTCTCACTGTTCAGTAGCATTCCACGGGTCTGAGGTTGTGGAGAATTTTTTCATCATTCCCTTTTTCGCGCGCATGAACTCATGTAATTAACTCAGTTACTTGAAATCGCAAATAGATACATTCGAGCGTGTTCACAGCGGGCAAACATTCTCCCCGGGATAAACCTCTTAGGATCAAACCACTAAGGCAGAAGGGCACTGTGCTCATTCGATCCTTTCTCGCATCCTTAGTGGCATCAATTCAGGCTCCAAAATCTCCAGAAATTCTTTTCTGACCGACCTCGACTCCTGCGATGGCAACAGAAAGCCGCGTTCCCTGCCCTGCGCCCCGCTAGGTCTCGATAAAACCTGTCGCTCAGATCTGCGTCGAACCAGGGGCAATATAATAAACATTTCATTAACGTATCCACATCGTATAAAATTCCCCCATTTAAGGTGTGCAATTCAATGTGTTTTTTTTGTTGTGCATACATCACCGGAACTAATGTAGGACATTGCATCACCCCAAATAGAAACCTGGTACCTGTCACCCGGTGGTCCCCCCCAACGGTCCCCACCCCCCAGTTCCCGGCAACCTCTAATCTACCTTGCGTCTCGATGGATTTCTCTATCTTGCACATTTCATGTAAATGGAATCGCACCTCTGTGACCTCTTGGGTCTGGCTTTTTCACTTAATGTAATGTTTGCAAGGTTCATCCGTGGGGTAGAATGTGTCCGTCCTTCCTTCCTTTACGGTTAAATGATATTCCGTTGTGTGAATATATGCATATTACGGCGTTGTGTTTATCCCTTCATCGGTTGACAACATTTCGAATGTTCTTTTTCTTTTTAATGTTTATTTTATTGATTTTTGAGAGAGAGAGAGAGAAGTAGAGAGCAAGCAGGGGAGGGACAGAGAGGGAGAGACAGAGACAGAATCCCAAGCAGGCTCCAGGCTGCCAGCAGAGAGCCTGACACGGGGCTTGAACTCACAAACCGTGAGATCACGACCGGAGCCGAAACCAAGAGTCGGACGCTTAACCGACTGAGTCACGGTTGACTCAGACATTTCTACCTGCTGCCACTTTTTTGCTATTCTGAACGGTGGTGCCATAACTCTCCTGTATTTAAATGCGTATTTTCACAGCACGGGTGATCGTGTCCTTCCATTCACGCCCCTGTTGGACAACTCAGTTGCCACACAGCAAAATCGCTGAGGGCAGGGGCATCGCTTTCCGGGTCACCGCTGTGTTCTCAGTGTATTTACGAAGTGTCACATCTGGGGCTCCTGGGTGGCTCAGTCGGTTTTGAGCTTGATCTTCTGCATAATCTCCGGCTCCTTGCGCTGTTAGCCTGGTCAGCTGGGCTCTGCCCTGACCCACGAGGGACCTGCCTCGGGACACAGAGTCACCCACCCAGGGTCTGGACAGAACAGATGCGTTTCCAGCGTCCTCGGCTGAGGTCTGAGGCTCTTCTGCTGAGGGGTGTTGACAGACACGGACAAATTCGTCTCAAAAACCAACCTACGTTATCAAAGCGTGGGGAAGTCAGAGTCCCCATCCCCTCCCCCGCCCAGCGCCAGGCACGACCCCTCTTCTCCATCTCTCCCAATCTCATCCCCAAAACGGTACACTCATTTATTTTGAGAGGAAGGGTGAGTGGGGGAGGGGCAGAGAGAGAGAGAGAGAGAGAGAGAGAGAAAGAATCCCAAGCAAGCTCTGCACGGTCAGCGTGGAGCCCAATGCGGGGCTCGAACCCCTGAACCGCGAGATCATGACCTGAGCCGAAGTCAGCCGCTCAGCCGACTGTCTCATTTTTTAAAAAGAAATTAAGTGGACTTTAAAAAATAAGTAAAAATTAAAGTAAGAGAGAAGGCGGCCTCTGGGCGCATCTTAAAGACCAAGGACATTGCTAGAGGATCCCTTGTTGACTGCAGAGCCCTCGACTTGGTGACCCCTGTGTTCCCACCTGCCCAAGAAGGAGAAACAACGTCCAGTGAAGGCGGAATGTTGCCGGAAAGGAAGAGCACGGAGGCGCACTGACGCTGTGATGGCACCGTGAGATGCTCGGGCCGTTCAGGAGAGCGAGGTCCACCTTGAACAACGCGATCCCTCTGCCACCTATGATTCGGTGCGCGATCGCCTAGTTAACCTTCATCTAGCACTGATGATCATAAGAGGCCCCTCGCTGCCCGGGAACTGAGGCTTGTAAGCTGCGTGCTTCGGACTCGAGTCCTGAGCAGACCCCAGGCCAGCGAGGAGCTCAGCCTGAGGTCTAGATGTGGGTCTATGCAGCTGGGGGGGGCGGGGGGGCTGGGCCCCTGTGACCCCAGCTCCTGAGTCCAGCCCCTAAGGCAGCCCCAGCTCATTCATTCACAAAGACACGGGGGCAGCCATCCACCTGCTGCCCCGTCGGCCTTCATCCCATAGGAAGACCGGCACGGACCCCGAGCCATCACCGGGGCCACGTGTCTGAGCACCCGCCCCGTCCAGGACTTGGGGGGAGACTCGGAGAAGGGACCAGAGGGCGAGCCTGGTGTTGGGGGCCAGCGGGGAGGCTGCTGGACCGACCAGGCGGGAGAGGAGGGGGCTGGACAGGGAGGCCCCCAGGACTCGGGGGGAGGGGACGACGCCCGGGGCACTGGCTGGAGGGGCCCTTTCCTGGGCTGGGGACCCCCACAAGGGGCAATGCGGGCTTCCCTGGGCTAGAGCCCCCCGAGGGTGGCACCAAGGCTGTCTGGCCACTGAGGCCCCAGCCCCCAGGCCCCAGCCCAGGGCCTGGGTATCCAGAAGCTGCTCAGTAAGGAAAGGATTACTCCCTCCTGGGACTCCTCCGGGGGCGGGGCTGAGGGTGGGGAGAGCGGGAGAGTCCCAGGACCCTCAGGGTGTGTCTGGGTGGGCACGGCAGGCAGGTGGGATTTAAGGCCCCGGTGGGGCGGGCAGGGCCCCACACGCAGGCGCAGGCGGCGGACCAGCGGGCAGGATGCAAGAGCCAGGCTCCCCTGAGGGTGCGCCTGGGCCTGCGCCAGGGGCCGGGGCTGAGGCTGGGGAGGCCTCCGGGCCTCCAGAGGAGGCCCCCGGTGTTGGGGAGGGCGTCCCGCACCGGGCTGTGGGGACTTCGTGGGGCCGGGACAGAGGGCCTGGTGCACGGCCGCCCCCTGTGAGCAGCGTCAGGGTGGCCCTGGCCCTGGATGGGAGGGGCTGGGGGGCCAGGCGAGGTGGGAGCCCGCCTGCCTGGGGCAGCGGCCTGGCTGGGCCTGGGGAGCTCAGCCTGCCTGCCTTCCGCGGCCGTGGGTGCTGGAATCACAAGACAGCCGTCACTGCGCCCATTTCAAAGGTGTGCCCGCTGAGGCCCCGACACAGGGCACAGAGACTTGGGCTGGACCGCGAGAGCCAGGGCCCCACCCCAGGGCGTCGGGTCCAGCTGCCACCTCTCATGCACAGCCGTGCCTCCCACCTGCTCGTCGGGGCCTGGCCCGGGCAGGGGGAGGGTCTTTGGGGGACGGGGGGCCGTCTGTGGGGCTTGTCTGAGCCCGTCTCTCCTCGGGTCAGGTCCCCCATCAGCCCGAACGCTCCCGAGGCCCCGGAAGAAGCGCACCGTGTACCTCAAGGAGCAGCTGCAGGAGCTGGAGAGACACTTCTGGGCCAACCGGTACCCGAGCTACCAGGAACGCGTGGCCCTGGCAGCCGGGCTCAACCTGGACGAGCACCAGGTGCAGGTAGGACCCCCGCCCCCTCCGTCCCCACTGGCCACAGGGTCCACTAGGAAGGTGGCACTCCTCCGGCCGGACCACCTGCCGTCTGTCCCGGGCTACAGGGGAGAAGACACGCCAGAGGGTCCGAGGGCTCCCCTGGGTCACAGGGCTAGCAAGGGGTCCCCTGTGGGGACTCAGGGCCGGACCCCAGGCTCACGGCCACCCTGTGCTGCGCGAACCAGCCGGCATGAGCCCGCCCAGACTGACGGTTGGCTGGGTGTCGGGGCACCAGAGCTCAGGGCCTCTGCGAAGGCGGGGGACCCTCTGAGGCAGGCCCCTTCCTGGCCCCCGGGCTCCCGGTGTCCAAGCCCTGCCCCCACTGCCCCCTGCATCCTCGGGGGACCTTGAATTGGGCTCCGGGGGCCCTAGGGAGAGCTCTGCGGCTGCCGTGTCTCCTGAGCCCCCCACACCTGGGACAGAGGCGGGGAGGTGCCCCTGCCTAGCCCGTTTACCCCTCCGCCTTGTCCCCTTGGTCCCTCCAGGTGTGGTTCAAGAACCGCCGGGCCAAGCACTCCAGGCTACCCAAAGGGCGAGGTCGGGGAGCTCACATGGCGCCAAGGGACCCTGGAGCCCCCAACTCCCGCTCTGTTGATGCCCCTGTCGACGAATCCGCCCCTGTCCCCGAATCCGTCCCTGTCCCTTTTCCTGTGCCTGCTCCTTTCCCTGCCCCTGTCCCTGCTGGCCCCATGTTCCCAGGGACCCCAGGCGTCCGCAGCCCCGCTCCGCACGGCCCCTCGAGGATGCACCCAGCAGCAGAGCCCGGCACCTGCAGCCGGGACCCAGCCTGGTGGGCCCCAGAGCTGGGCTCCCAGGAGTCCGTCCCCGCCCCCGCCCCTACCTGGCCTCAGAACTCCTTTGGCGCCGACTTTGTGCCAGACCCCTTGCTAGCCCCCAATTCCACAGCGGTCTTCTCACCCCAAGACCCCCTGGAGGGACCCTCTGACCCCGTGATGTCCGGATACCAAGAAGAAGAAGGCCCTGCAGAGGACGACTCGGAGCTCATGACGTTACTGAATTTATAGGGGAATCTGCCCCCCAAAAGTCCTCGAGTTCCCGCGGAGCCAGAGGGGACTAGGGTGTCCCGGGCCCGCCCACCCCGCGTCCACGTGGGTGGGGACGTCGCGGGGGGGCGGGGGGTGGTCCAGCCGCGCAGCCGATCCCTCCCCTGCGGCGGGAACACACCTCGGTCCATCCCACCTGTGGAGGTGGCACCTGTTCCCTGGGTGGCCCCCACGCGTGGCGCTGCTGTGAGTGTCCCCGCAGCATGTAGGGCACACGTGAGTATTTATGTGGGGTCCCAGGGGTGGCATGGAACCGATGCCCCCCGTGTCTGCTCCCTGGATGCTCCGAGAGCCTACTCGGTGCCTTGACCAGCCGGGAGCACTCCTGCTCGCAGCGTCCTCCTAAAACAGTGAGGATGTGACAGCTTTGGATGGCAACCTGCGGACTGAGGCTTTGCTGTGGTTCCAACATTCGTTTACTGATCAAGAAGTGAGGCCCTCGCGCGCGTGTTCGTTGAACATTAGTACTCACAACGTGAGTTTTTGTTTTAAGGGTTTTTTGTTGTTGTTGTTGTTGTTTTGAGAGAGCAGGGGAGGGGCAGAGAGAGGGGGAGACAGACAATCCCAAGCAGGCTCGGGGCGCTGTCGGCTCAGAGGGCAACGCAGGGCTCGAACTCACCACCCCTGAGATCAAGAGTCTCTCGGTGCCCTCCTGGCTGAGCCGGCCAGGAGCCCCATTTTTCCTGGTCTTTGACCCATTTGTGCTCCCTCCCTTGTTGACAATTTAATGTACCACAAGTGTTTGTTCCTATTTGTATTTTACTCATACGCAAAAAATTTCTCAGTTTTAATGTCATCTATTTTCAGTGCTTTCCGTTATCTGTTACGGGCCAGTTTCTTCCTTCTTCCTTGCTTGCCATCAGTGTATCCAAACGCTGTAAAGCAAAATAAAGTTATTTAATAAAAATTAACAATGCCTTTCACAAGGCAGCCTTCATTTTGTTTCTTTTTTTTTTTTTTAACATTTATTTTTGAGACAGAGAGAGACAGAGCACGAACAGGGGAGGGGCAGAGAGAGAGGGAGACACAGAATCGCAAACAGGCTCCAGGCTCTGAGCGGTCAGCGCAGAGCCTCACGCGGGGCTCGAACTCACGGACCGTGAGATCGTGACCTGAGCCGAAGTCGGACGCTTAACCGACCGAGCCACCCAGGCGCCCCGGCAACCCTCATTTTCAAGTTGACGGGAAAGTTTATAAAAGCTGGCCTCCAGGGTGTCTCCTCGCCTTGTCACAAACCGGAGACGGTTTACCGAAGTCTGAGGTCCCCAGGGAACTGCTTGGACTATAGCTCGGGTTTGCTTTGGTTTGGGTTACTTTTCTGCTCTAAGATAATGCCTTTTATTTTTGCTTTCTTGTTTAAGAAACCTTTATCTAGCACTTGGTTATAAAGGTGCTGTTTTATTCTCTAAAATATTCTTAGTTTTGTCTCATATTTAGGTCTTTTTTTTTTTTTTTAATGTTTGTTTTTGAGAGAGAGAGCACGAGCAGGAGAAAGACAAAGAGGGAGGCAGAATCCAAAGCAGGCTCCGGGCTCCGAGCTGTCAGCACAGAACCCAGCTGCAGGGCTCGGACCCACCAACCATGAGATCATGACCTGAGCCGAAGTCGGACGCTTAACCGACTGAGCCACCCACGCACTCCTCCAGTTTATTTATTTTTGAGAGAGAGAGAGAGAGAGAGAGTGGGGTGGGGAGGGACAGAGAGTGAGAGAGAGAGAGAGAGAGAGAGAGAGAGAGAATCCCAAGCAGGCTCCGCACCGTCAGCACAGAGCCCAACAAGGGGCTCGGACCCACCAACCATGAGATCATGACCTGAGCCAAAGACAGACCCTCGACTGACTGATCCACCCAGGCACCCTTCTTTAATGCATCCAGAATTGATTCTGTATGGTGTGAGGAAGGGATTCACATTTCTTCTTTTTCCTCGGGGGTTTTTAGTTAGTTGATGGAGAGGCTGGGAATTTCTCATACATCAAGGGTCCATTCATGGATGGGTCAGTATCTAGAAAGTCTGTACTTGGGGTCCATGGTCTCTAGATCCTTCCAGTTACGTGCCCCCTCTTGTCTCCTGTCTCCAGTTTCTCTGCTGCCCCCAGTGGCCACCCTGGCCCCTGTACTTCTCCAGAGCTAGCTCTCTGACCCTGTCCTGTTCTATTTAGCAAATGCTCCAATCCTCTTAGGCCAGGCCAGCCTCAGCAAAATATAGGGAGAATTAGTGGGGATTTAGAGGGACATGTGACAGACTGGCATGGCGGGGGGAGGCAGGGGGGGCACCACTGCCAGGATATAATGAACCCCCTCCTTCTCAAAGAGCTGCTGACAGGGACGGACACAGAAGGACACAATGAGACCCCGCAAGGAGACTGAGGGGCAGAGAAATGGAAAGACATAGGGGGAGAGAGGGGAGAGATGGGGGGGGGCGCGCAGAAAGAAGGGGAAACTGAGGCACTGGCATTTCGTGCTCTCAAAGGCAGAACAGGCGGGCCCCCCCTTCCCCCAGCACTTCCCACGGGACAGCAGCTGCCGTACATGCTCTAATATCCTTACGAAAAAGGTCCTTTAAGGCAGGCAGCCTAATCCCTTGCCTACAGGAGGTCACAGCAAACATCGGATCATTCAAAGTGCCTTTCCGGGGAGACAGCAAGCCTCCGAGCGGGGCTAGCGAGCACCCGGCTGCCCAGCTGGAGGGCACAGCCCTTAACCTCCCGTGCCAGCCTGCAAACTGTACCAAGCCCATCTGCTTCTCGGACTATTCGGAATACGACATGAGGACAGCTGGACGTCCATGAGACTTTGGGTGACAAGCACACCCTCTCCGTGGGTGTGGGTCATGGGGAATGTGACATTTACGCGCCCAGCACAGAGCCTGATTTACAGGGAGCGCCGAGGAAACGGATGGGCTCACCATTCGGCCATCAGACTAGTCTCCCGTCCCACCATCTCTTCCCGTTTCTGCCACCTCTCTGCCCTGCACAGACCCTCTCCTCCCCTCCCCTCCCCCTCTCAGCCCCTGGGCTTCTCCCCAGCAGGTTTCCTGGGCCTTGGCCTGACTTGCCACCCGTCCCCACCCTCTTGGGCCAAGTCAACATCTACAGAATGTCAGCCAGGTCAGAGGAGAGAGGTGACGGGGACATGGGGACGTGTCGGCAGACGATGGCGAAAGCCTTCTCAAGGGCCTGCCCGCGTCTGCTCACACTGCTTTGGAGGCTGTGAGGCTTCGGTTACGGCAGTGGGTGCCGACAGGGGGTGTGTGGGGGTCCCTCCCCGACACAAGACCCAGGAGATTCGAGATGCTCTCTGGCGAAGCGGCAAAATCTCCCCTCCTTGATTATCCGCGATGACCAGGCAGTGGACACGACGCGGTGCACAGGCATAGTTGGCTGAACTCATACTCTGAATCAGAAAATTAAGTTGGGGCGCCTGGGGGAGGCGGGGGGGCTCAGTCGGTCAAGCGTCCGCCTTCGGCTCAGGTCACGATCTCACGGTTCGTGAGTTCGAGCCCCACGTCGGGCTCTGTGCCGACAGCTCGGAGCCCGGAGCCTGCTTCGGATTCTGTGTCTCCCTCTCTCTCTGCCCCTCCCCCTCTCGTGCTCAGTCTCTCTTTCTCTCTCAAAAATAAATAAACATTAAAAAAAAAGTTAAAAAAAAAAAACCCTGTCTTCAACGATGAACCACAGGGATCTACCCCGAAAACCAAGAGCACACTTTACACGCTGTATGTTAACCAATTTGACAACACATTAAGTAAATAAATAAGTAAATAAATAAATACTTTTTTTTAATTAAAAACAAAGTCCGTCTCTTCAAAAAACCTTGCCCTTCGGTAAGGTCAAAGCCTGATACTCAGAGTTGACTTCCCGTGGAAGGCACACACCCAGAAGCCACTGGAAACTGATAACGCGCATCTTGCAAGGTGCCGGGATGCAAAAACCAATGAACACAAAATGAGCTGTATGTCTATACGGTAGCAGTGATCGCTGGGAAAAGGCTATTTCCAAGCCAATACTTGTGGCGCAAGCCCTGAGAGTTGTTTGGGTTTGGTTTTGGGGTTTTTTTTCGTGTTTATTTATTATTGACAGACAGAGCATGAGCGGAGGAGGGGCAGAGAAGGAGAAGGAGACACCGAATCCAAAACAGGCTCCAGGCTCCGAGCTGTCAGCACAGAGCCCGACGCGGGGCTCGAACCCACAAACCGCGAGGCCACTGACCTGAGCCGAAGTCGGACGCTCGACCGACTGAGCCAGCCAGGTGCCCCGGAACGGTAAGGTTTTTTCGTGTGAGGAGTTCTTGGTGAGAAGGAAGGACCTGAGAGGGATGAAATGAGGCAAATCAAAAAAAGCCTTTTTATTATTATTATTATTATTATTATTTTAAGTAGACTCCACACCCAGCACGGAGCCCCATGCAGGGCTTGAACGCAAGACCCTGAGATCAAGGCCCGAGCTGAGATCAAGAGTCGGACGCTTAACGGACTGAGCCACCCAGGCGCCCCTCAACTCGTACAAATCTTAACCGAGCCCGAGCGTAGTAAATGTTCAACAAACGGTTAATGACAGCATCGTGTAAAGACTTCTTCGTGTCTTTCTCGGCCTCTGTCTCTCTCGGTCCCTCTGCCTGCCCCACCTCTTTCCTGCCTCCTTGTCTGGGTCCTCAGGCTCCGCCCGCCTCCTGACGCTCTCCCTCCTCTTTCCCCTCCTGCCTCTTGGACTCTCATCTCCTGTTCTCTGTGTCCCTGTCACCCTGAGCCTCTGTAGGGTAGAGTAATGCAGAGCTGGACCAGATCCCGGCAGCACCAGGAATCTGCTGTGTGACTTGAGGCAGGTAACCGCACCTCTCTGAGCCTCAGCAACGTCCGCTGTGCGCACAACGGGCTGCACGTAGTGATTCCCTTCCAAAGAGCACAGCCCCGACGGGGCGCCTGGTGGGGGGCTCGGTCTGTGAAGCGTCCGACTTCGGCTCAGGTCGTGATCTCGTGGCTCATGGGTTCGAGCCCCGCATCAGGCTCTGCACGGGCAGCATGGCCCCTGCTTGGGATTCTCTCTCTCTCTCTCTCTGTCCCTCCCCTGCTCCTGTTTGCGCGCCGTTCTCAAAAAATAAATAAACATTTTTAAAAAGAAAAAAAAGGCATTTGGCAAAACGAAGGAAAATTGAATAAATCAGGGGCTTTTAGTTAATAATAGTGTATCAGTGTTGGATCATTCATTATAACAGACGTACCTGCTAATAGAACATGTTAATAAGAGCCAGCTAGATGCTGGATACATAGCTTTGCAACTTTTCTGGAAAGCTGAAAACCTCCCCCCGCCCTC